GACATCCACGAGGCCTTTATGATCGCCGACGCCCGGGACTATGACCGAGCCTTGGTCGAGCCCTTCGTCGGCACCGCCGGCTACTGACCCTACAAAAGCCGCGCCGCTGTTACCGCAGAGATCGAGAAGGTTGCCGCCGAACGTGGCCACGCAGTGGCCGGAACCTCTTCCATTGGGCGGCCGTACTTTCTGCTACTTCGCTGGGCCTGCCCGTCCCCCTTGCACAACTTCGGCGGCACCACGGCCAGACGCGACGCTGCAAAGAAAAATTTGGGCGCCGGGGCGGGAATCCTGGCACAAGCCGTGCACCACCGTCGGTCTGGCGGGCAATTCTTCCTCGAGCTGGGCCGTTCCTTTGATCCTGCCGCCCTACCAGCAGGACAGGAGCTTCTTGACGAGCCGGGGGTGCAGGACTTTTACTGGAATGGGCGCCGCTTCTTGACTTCGAGCTCGGTCTTGGCCGAGGTCTTTCGGAATGGGCCGGGCGAGCAGACTGTGCCGATCGAGGAGGTCGTGCTGGCGGCCATGGAGCAGCAGTTCGAGTTGGTCCACCGGTCCAATGAGGCGAACGAGGGCTTGGCGGCAGAGACGCTTGAGGGAGATGATGAGATTGGGGACCCTGAGGGCACGGAGTCTGAAGATGAGGAGGTGACGTTCGGGGACCCCAAGGAGCTGAAGATCCCCGTGGCCGTGAGACAAGCGGTCCGGAGGATTCACGAGAACACGGGCCACCGCAGCCCGTTGCGCCTAGCCAGGGCGCTGATGATCGCTGGAGCCCCGCCTGAAGCGGTGCAAGCAGCCAAGGAGCTTCGATGCTCCCTCTGTGAGGAGCGCCGACCCCCGAAAGTTGCAAGGCCAGCTTCCTTGCCAGGCCCCCGCGAACCAGGAGACCAAGTCGGAATAGACGTCTTCGATGTCTTCGACGGGGTCGGCACTCGCTTTTCCGTGCTTCATGCAGTTGATGCAGCCACTCGTTTCCAGATGGCGGTGCTCGTGACCAACAAGTCGAGCGCTGAGGTCGTCTCCTTCCTCAAGGAACGGTGGGCACCCGTTTTCGGGATGCCCCGAACCCTGGTCTGTGACCAGGGCCGGGAGTTCATCAGCATAGAGCTGGAGCAGTTCGCGAGCCAGAACAACATGCGCCTCTACCACATCGGCATCGGTGCCCCATGGCAAAATAGACTTACTGAGAGAACAGGGGGGATTCTTAAGACGCTGGTGTCTGCATGCGTGATGGCCCAGTCCTTGACTGATGGGATACCAGGAGATGCAATCGGCTCTGGGCGAGGGAGTTACAGCGTACAACATGGATGTGGGCGACACCGGCTTCTCCCCGATGCAGGCGGCCGTGGGACGTCAACCTTTACCTCCTGGAGACGCTCTTGGTGGGAACCGGCTGGGTGAACTGGACGCGGTGCCGCGGTGAGTGACAGCAGCTTTGCGAGGCAGCTGGCAGTTCGGGAAACAGCTCGGATGGCAATGCTGAGGCTGCATTTCAGTCGTTCCTTGAAGCGAGCCCTGAAGGCTCGGTCTCGGAACCCGACCGTGATGAACACCCCGGCCGTGGGCGACCTCGTCTACTACTGGCGGGAGCAGAAGTACAACCGGCGGGGTGGCCACAACAAGCTGAGGCTGCTTCTGCGAAAATGGCATGGTCCTAGTATGCTTAATTGTGGCCCTGGAAGGAAGCAACTGCTATGTGACCTCCCGCGGGACCCTGGCCAAGGTCGCCCTAGAGCACGTGCGCCGAGCCTCCGCCATGCAACAATTAGCGAGCGGAGAATGGGAAACCGTGCTTCAAGAAATCGTCGAGGCGGCCGGCAGGGATCAGGAATGGGAGCTGGTCGACAAGGCTCCGCCGGATGAGCAAGAAGAGCGCTCGGATGAGGGAGTCCGTGCCGAAGATGACCCTGGACTTCCAAGACAATCTTCTGTTCCAGAACCACACGGGGGGCCTTTGATCGTGGGTGAAAGTATAGATGGAGCCGGTGCCTCAGATGACACTGGACTTCCGAGACAATCTTCCGTTCCAGAACCTGGGGGGCGTTTTTCGGATTTGCCAGACATACCGTCCTTCAGGCAGCGGCTCAAGGAAGCTATGGCTAAGGCCCAGGAACAGCGTCTGTGTCTGCAGGCGAGTTCGTACAAGCAGCGTCGGCGAGTGCACCTTCGGAGTCGAGACGGCCGTCTTCTTTGCTTGGGCCCTTGGCTTCGGGACTTTCGTCGCGTGCTCCTGGCACCCCTCCCGCTTTGAGTTTGTCTGGGCGTGCTGGGGAACTCGAGCCTGCAGGTGAGGAAGTGACCAGCCAGAGCACAAAGAGGCCAGCCGAAGTCGAAGCGGAGACTCTTCGCCAAGGAGCCAGTGCTGTGGAGGAGCCCATCCCCTTCGACGCCATGACCATGGAAAAGGGCAGCATCCTCGCGCGGCCCAGGCCAAGCAGGGTGAAGTGCACCCCCTCATCAAGCTACAAGCGCAAGCTGCACTGGACCGCGTGAGTGAAGATGGCGGAGAAGCAAGGGACCACGGCACCTGGGATGGACGCTGGCCACTCCCCTCAAGGTCCGAGTACGAGGCCTTCGTGGAGGGCGGCTGGAAGTGGCCCACCAGCCGCGATGCTTTTGTGGTGCAAGCCGCGCGGAAAGAGTGCCACTGGAACTCCATGAATGACGAGCAGAAGGCGGCCTTCAAAACAGCAGCCGCCACGTGTGGGTGCGAAACGAAGCAGTGGAAGTGCTCAGTGAGCAGGAGTCAGAGCGAGTAATGGCCACCCTTCGTCAACGAGGAGAACTACACAAAGTGCTGAGGCCGAGGTTCGTGTTCACCGACAAAAACGACGGCCTTCGGACCGAACAGAACAGTCTGCCGTTGAGGGCATCGGCCAGACTCGTCGTCGTCGTCCCCGGATATAAGGACGTGACGGCCTACGGCATCCGCAAGGACGCACCCACAGCCAGCCGCACCAGTCAACACCTCCTTTTTAGCCTTGCAGCCAGCAAGTACAAGGATGGCTGGCGCGCTGGGACCGCCGACGTGAAGAGCGCATTCATGAAGGGGGAGCGGTACATGGAGGGGACCAGAGAGCTTTACGTCAGCAACGTGGACGGACGAGGCGACAGCCCGACGCTTCCAGTGGGGCGTCGCTTGAGTAAGGTCCTTAAAGGAGTCTTCGGACTCGCTGACGCTCCTCGTGAGTGGTTTCTTCGACTATACGCAAAAGCCTGGTCCGCGAAAGTTGGAAAACTTCTTCAATGGACGCGGCCACGTTCTTCTTGTGGTCAAACGACCCCACTCCTCGGTTGCTGGGGATGCTTTGCAGCCACGTGGACGACCTCCTCTTCACTGGAGGAGCGGAAGCCTGGGCATCGATACACCGCCTCGGGGCTGAGCTGGGCTTTGGGTCGCTGGAAAGGGACTCCTTTGTGTACTGCGGCAAGCGGGTGACCCAGGAGGACACCGGGGACATTGTCGTCTCCATGGCCGAGTACCACTCCAACCTGAAGGTGATCCGGGTCCCGAGTTCCAGGCGCCGCGACCACGACGCCACCCTGACGCCTGGAGAAAGCAAGCAGCTGCGGGCCCTGATAGGGTCTCTTCAGTGGTTGGTGGCGCAAGTCCGGTTCGACTTGGGTTTTCTTCTGTCGATCCTGCAGGCGGAGACACCTACGGTCTCGACGCTCCTCAAGGCGAACCTCCTCGTGAAGATGTTCCAGGAGACCGGCGACTTCTGCCTGCGCTTCCGACCCCTGAACCTGAAGAATGCAGGGATCCTCGTCGTAACGGACGCCTCCTTGGGGAACGTCACAAGGTCGGGGGCCACCGGTGACAAACCGTTGGAGCGCGTGTACAGCCAGAGTTGCTACTGCATCTTGCTGGCCGAGCACAGCCTCATGAATGGAGGCACGGGCCGCTTTACGGTGCTTGATCACCGCAGCCATCGCCTTCAGAGGGTTTGCCGCTCAACGTTTGGAGCAGAACTGCTCGGAGTCGAGGAAGGCTTCGATGCAGGACAGTACTGTCGCGGGCACCTGGCGGAGGCGATCGGCTACGACCTCGGTCATAAGTCCGTGGACCTCATCCTGGACCAGATCGGCCTTGTCTGTGGGACCGATGCCAAGGACGTCTTCGGGGAACTCGGACACACCCCTTCGTACGGATCCCAGAAGTCATTGGCCTTCACCGTGGCATGGCTGAGGCAGATGTTGCTCTGAAATGGACGGCCGCTGAAAACATGTTTGTTGATTGTGGTACGAAGGAAATGGACGGTGGCCACATGCGCCGCATCCTGGCCGCCGGCGAGTGGAGCTACTGCTACGACGTGAAGTTCGTGAAGCAAACGACCAAGCCCAAGAAGGCCGAACACCGCGGACCGGATGTGCTGAGTGGGATTGCTGTTGCTAGTAGTGATCCCATAATGGGTTTCTTACAAGGACTTGCACCTCAGAAAGGATGGCACCGCAAAGACAGCCTGGCTATCCAAGTAGCCCACGGTGCCAGCAGTTTTCGCCGACCGGAGCCTCGCTACGACCCCAAGGAGTACCCGTACAGGACCACGTATGCTCTTTTCCATGACATGCATGGTCGGGGGTGCTGGCGGCTTCTCGAACGAGATGAGGCTTACGGCCGACTTTTACGAGCCTTAGACCGGACGGCAGCGGTGCTCATCACGATCTTCAGGACCAACAAAGAGAATAGGACCGATGTAGAAGCTGTGTCGCAGACTGAAAGGTCCTGATCGTGTGTGAGCCATCCGCATTTGCCGTCGCCTCTTTAGGCCTTGACCCAATCATGGCGATTGGCAGGTAAAAGGTGAAGCCTGCTGTTTCTCTGTGCACCAGGGATTCATAAGTAGCAACAATAGCCGCAGCAGCAACAGCAGGAGCAGGAGTAGTAGGAGTAGCAGGTAGTGGTGGTCGTCGTTCTCCTCGCCGTTGTGCTACTGGCTAGTGTTGGAGGGGCTTGATGTCTTGCGAGTCACAGTCGCAAACCCGAAGCAGAGTAGGACTGGCATCGGCTGTCGTACGACGAGCTGCTTGGCACACGTTTCTGGAAGAGCTAAAGACAGGCGGCAAGCGATTGTGACAGGGAGACTTTTGCTGTATTGCTTCCCGTGGCACGAGGACTGGAACTTGTTCGGGGCAAACTGGGAGTCGGATGTGAAACGGACTGTTCAGCTGCATGGTTCATCATGATTCATTCGCTTGGAAATCAGAGGATGCTTTGTCGCTGAGATGCGACATTACATGATGGCTTGGCTTGGGACGGTCATAGTAAAGATCACTTCTGCAAGGGCTACAAGAGAGAGCTTTGGAGAGCTGAACTCGCCGGGTAAATTTGGCAGTGGGAGCCGAAGCAGAGACCGACCTACACTTTAGCTCCTTTTCCGGAATTCGCCCACTTCTGAACTATAACTTGAAAACCGAAACCGAAGGTGTGGAGCCTAACATCCGACTAACTTGCGGGAGCAACTTCTTTACTTTAGCGTGAGCCCAAGCCCCAAGCTTCCACAACACTAAACCCTCAATCGCCCGACGTCGTAGGCTCTGTCACGTTTCGTAGTCGCATGGATTTGGCTGCGTGATGATTATGATGTGGGTGTGATGGAGCCTGCGGTAGTCTGGTGTCTCATGCCTTCTGCACGGCTTTGAAGCCTTGTCTGCGAGGTGTGGGTGTCAGAATGGAATCCTTCAAGAAAAAGCCTCAAGCCCGAAAACAAGCCCCGAAGCTTACCCTAGTGTTTGAATCGAGGTTTGAGCTGACAAAGTATTTGCGGCCCTTTGGCTGCCGCATTTATTAGGACTTGTGTCTTGGAGGGTTCATAGGGTTTAGGAATCATGCGGGTCATGACCCGGACGTGGCCATTTGAGCTTGCTCATTCTGCTCTTGTGGATAAGGTGGGCAGTCGTTTGTGCAAATTGTCCTGCGTATTTCTGGATTTTGCCCAGCTGGAGCTCACGTTTCATGGATTTCTACCCATGCTGACGATTACGGTGTTTGGCAGCACGAGGCGATTCTGCGACACAGGCGAGTCGACATATCTCTCAAGCCGCATGTGCGTCGTCATACACCATCATACTTCCGAAAGCACGAGGCGTCGCATGAAGAGGCCGCATTTTTTCCCATTGCTGGCCTCAGGCGCTTCCTCAGCGTAGTCGGCCTTGATCATGTTCTTGTCTATGGAACTATGCACGGGTTTCGCATCGCCCCATACATGATGCTCGGCATGGGATCGGGTCTGATGAGCTTAGCGAGGACTTCGGTATTCCCGGGTCGAGTGGCCATCAAAGCTGATACGAGCCAGTCAGAAAGACCCAAAGTAGCCAATGTCGCTGCATGTCGCTGCTATGGTCAACGAGGAACAATAATTTCGGATCATCTTCATTGTGAACCTCCCTGTCAGCCAAGGGCACTCGTGTCGCGACAGCAGTGGGAACATGCTTTTCGGCGGATTGATGCCTGGCTTGGACCTCAGCTCAACGCGTTCATGTTGGGCGGGTGGGGAGGGGGGCGAACTACAGTACTTGCTCACATGGACCAGCAGGGCAGCCGAATCCAAAGCAAGGCCTTGCTCTCCCTTTGACCTCATTGGGCAAGTTGCTCATGCGCCGCACCATCTCTATAGTGGGATGAAGTAGTCTTAGTGTGCGTGGCATGAAACCGAGCTCTTCAAACCCGGCAAAGTGTTGACTAGCCATCCCGAGGTTACGGACTGCTGGTGCTGCCTATCGGATGCAAACAGGCACGTTTTGAAACACCGGGCACGGGGCGAGGACTGGTAGCAAGCATGCCGCTGCTTTGAACTGTCTCGTTCCGTCGGTAGTGCTTAGAAACGACATTCCTGCTGTTCTTCGACCGATCATGGCCCATCATGGCTTGGTTTTTGAATTGGGCAGCCCAGCAAAGCCGTGTTCCAAAGCTTCGCACGTGATGCACAAGCTGCCCACAAGGACCGCATGCGATGTGGAGCCAAGTTCCCCGTTGTGCTTGCGAGCCACGACAATTGCGCAGGATGTAAGGTTGACGGCAGGGATCGGACAGCACCACTGTTGGATACTGTTGGCCTGTTGTGCCATCCCTCCGAAGCTATGCGCAATATCACCGGAATCCTCGGAGTGGCCAGTAGTTTGCTCGTAGTTGCTTTGTAGCTTCGAAGTTCGAAGTCAGAGCGTGGAGAGGCGCCACGAGTGCTCCAAAGATCTTGGAAGTTCAACAAGCCCGCTTCGTGGAGCGGTGCTTGCCGTCCCCAGGCGCTCCAGGGGTTTCGGATTCAGCCTTTGGCAAAATGTTTGTGGCTTGCTGGAAGAGTTGTTGCCAAGGGGGTCCATGGTCTGAAACGAGAGTTCGTTTTTTCCGTTGTCCGGTAGTTCTTGTTGTCGAAAAGTTTATCGGCTGTTCCGGCTAGCAGGCTGACACGCATGTTTCACGGCTAGCTGATCGGGCGTGTGACGTCCTGTCTGCTAGAGGCCCGTCTTAATTCGAGACCCTTAAGCGAGGACTGTCCAGAAGATTATCTACAGGCGAGGACGGGCACATCCACTTCCTAGAACCCTCCAAGTCCCTGTTGCAACGTGGGGCCCCTTAGCCTTAGTTGCCAGCCGAACGGTTTAGTTGTCGAATTTGTCTTTGTCGGCACGCAGAGCATGCTTTGTGCCAAGGCTGAGCCTGATTTCAGAGTCGTCTGCTCCCAAACGAACTATCTCACACCTGCAAGCATGTGCAAGTTGCCCGAAGACATGGAGCACTGCAGGTACACTACAGACGCCTAGTTGTGTTTGCTATGATCGTCGCCTCTTCAAGTGTCAAACGTCTCAAGCCTGTGCTGCCGTGGACCCAGTCAAGCTTCTCTCTCCAGGATCGATAAACGAGACGCTCGTACTTCATCATTTTCTGCAGCCAATCCCGGCTGAGCCAGGCCTGACTTGGCTCTAGCTCTAACAGAGTATTCGAGAATCTGAGCCAGCGATCAGTATACGAGAAAGAACTCTAAAGAACGCACCGGCAGGTAGCAATCTTGAAGTTAGACGACACTCAAAGATGCCCGGGCTGCTGCAGGGGTACGGCAGCCCTCCAGCATGGTCGTGTGCTTGGTCCACTTCGATATAGTATCCGAAGTACATCTATAAAGACTGTATGTGAAATATGCACCTGCTTCCGACACTACACCTGTTTTTGCATGCTGAGTGTAAGTTCGCACATAGGCACATTGGTCTAGTTCAACGTTTTGTGGTGAAGCAGCACTTGAGGTTAATGGCCCATTATTCTCGGAGCCTCATAGGACTCTGTGAATGTGAGCATGTTGGGAGTTGGCGCTACAGTCTTCGTGGAGTATACAGGTAACCAGGTGTAAGCTGTTGGCTTTTCCTTGCTCCGCTGCCAGCCAAATCGAAGTGCTGTTTCCGCTTGCCCCCGTTTACACAAGGCTCTCTGAACCTCCTCTCCTAGGCCCTAGACTGTGTAAGTGTATCTGACCGATGGCTCGGGAAACTTCCCTTTGCAAAAACTTTGCAAAGCGGCTGCCGCTTCAAAAACCGATAGCGGAGCAGAATTTGCGATACAGCAGCTGCATGAGGCATAGTCACCGCTGCTTGGTCGGGTCGTGTGCACAAGTCTACAAGACATTCCGACAACGATGTTGACGAGACCGTTCGCGCAAATTGCTGATGTTAGCTCGCCACCGCGGTGCTTATCCAGAGCCACGATGACGCCCCTGTGTGCCCATATCGGCATGTGGACCGGCGATGTCTGGCCATCCCTATCTGTTTTTAATGCTTGAGCCGAGTTCCCTCGTGCAGGGCGTGAGAATTGCATGAAAGCCATGGTATTGGCATTTGGAGACTCTGCAAGCATCGCACTGCAGAGGCTCAGCCGTGTCCAATCACGGTGCGTAGGATGGGAACTCGTTCTTGAGCTTTCGAGGAGTGGTTTGGCACTGGTCTGGGTGTAGACCGTGGGCCACATGGCATCCAGTGCTCGAGCAGCGCACCCTCAAAAGCCCGAGGCCCGCCTCAGTCCCCAAGACTTGCCGGCCGCACTGACTTCGAAGAGCGACTACCCATGTGCTTTGCTTTTGCGCCAGAAGTTGTGTAAGCGGCTTCTGTAGCACTCATGAGGAAGCAAGTGCTTCCGACCGCAGCGGTGCCGTCCATCCCCCTCCGACGCACCCGACCGAAACTCGCTTTAGGCGAATCTCTGGCCATGAAGCTGGAATCATGCGGGTAGCTGTGGTGTGCGAAATCTCCGAGGATGACCAATCTCAGCATGCTTCCGCATCGTCCTTGCATCATGCGCCAGCCTGGATAATCCAGTACGATTCGGTGATGCCAGCACGCTTGGCGCTCAATCTGCCGCGACGGGGTCGGTCTTTCATTGACAGCTCCCCTTCCGCACTAGATGAGGACCATGCCGTGTGCTGATTCATGCTTGTCGCGGGCCTTTCGAAGCATTATCCTTGAGCTGTGGCTCCCGAGTGTACAGAAGGAGAAAGATGTTTGTAAAGGCGCAGCACCCTGTGAATGAGGTGTCCTGGGCAGCTTGACTCATGTTTTCGATGGGTCCACCTGCGTTTGCGCAAATCTGGAGCTCAGGAACTACCCCCCTTTGGCCCCATAATGCTATGACGTGGCAGGCAGCGTTTGCAGGTGCATCCCCGGTCCTATTCAAGGTATCACACACTCACACGCAAATTTTCTCAGTTTTGAAAGAAGCAGCCTGCGAGCTGGGCAGCCGACTACAATGTCCAAGAAGTCTGTCGATGGAGTGGTAGGCAAACTATGATGGTCTGTGAAACGTGCTTCGGTGCGAAGCTGTGCAGGATGTGGCTTCTTTGATAGAGGTCACAGTGTTACCGGAGTGTTACCGGCATTTTTGAGGTTCCTCCTTTGGGTTGCAGATCTAGCTTGCGCTACAGAACGGCATTGACTGTCCTGTCCTTGTGGCGGTAGTTGTGTTAGTGGTAGCGGTGCCATTCCTCCAATTTCAAACAGGGCTGATCATCTTCATTATCAGCGGTAATGGTAGTCGTTTTCGTCGTCATCGTCGTGGTCGTCGTAGCAACACTTGAAATAGAACAGGCAGAACTTGCACTAGATCTAGTGGTCGTGGTGCGGGTGGTTGTGGTTGCGTGGCTGAGGCCGTTACTTTGGCAAGCACTGTTGCTCTTGGCTGCTGTAGTTGTTGCTGTGGTTGTCGCTGCTGCTGTTGCTGCTATATTTAATTACTAGGAGAAGTGGAAGAGGTAGAAGCTGCGAGAAGAGGAACCAGATGCCGGTCCAGCTGAGCTTGCACCGGCGCTATGTCCGAAGGTGCATTCAACCTTGCACCGGCTTAGGCTCGGCAATAGTCATTGAAGGTTGAAGACTTTCTTTCGCTGTAGAACCAGTGAACATGCATCGTAGGCATCAAGCAGTCACCAACGGCTGGTTGGACATGTTCCTATAAGTAGTGACGTTCTTCATCCTTATGCCATGAAAGTCGCTGTCGCGATTGCCCAGGTGCATAACTTGTTGTTCGGTAGGTTCAGTTGCAGTGTCCCCGCTATCATGTGAAGTATCATTCTTCCACCTGGCCATAGCCTTTTGTGCCGCAAGCATCTGGGGCTTGGTGCTTGTCATAGCGAGTGTCACAAGGTTATGATTACCCTTCGTCGATTGTCTCCTCGGTGGATGACGGGATCGGCAAGACACAGCTTCGTCCTGTCAGTCGAAGCGCAAAAAACCATGCATGGGGATGGCTGATTAGTGCTCACTTGAGAAGCGGGGTCGCAGTATAGTGAAAGAAGGCTGTCCTCGCCCGAATCCCAGAAGTGAAGAAGCGATCAAGGCCGAGATGGCTCTTGGTCGTCCCCCGGCACTGGGTGCAGCATTCCGAGCTCGGCAGGCATTTTGTGGGAATCAGCTCTGGGTTCCTCTGCCACTTCTTTGTAGATTGTCTTGGGCCGAACGATTGGATTCCAACCAGCTTCTTCCGCCTGCATGTTAGTTGGCTTTCACGCGCGAGCCAGAGCCATGTGTGTAAGGACTCCTTGCAGATTCCACTGGTTCGGCCTTGGGTGGAGGGAATAGCTTCGACTAGCAGCAATAATTCTGCACTGGGGTGGCATCGAAAAATCGAGCAAGAAACGAATTCGAGCACTGGCCGAGGAGTCCCGTGGACGTAGCAAACAGCAATACGCATGACTGGGTTGGCATTTTTGCCCTTCAGTCGGTTTGCGAATTTCTTTTAGTAAGTATCCGGCTGATGGAGCATTGTGGGTCGTGTCCACGTGGTACGAGAACGTGGAACGAGAACACCCTCTCAGAAACAGGACGGGGGAGTACTTCCTGCAAAGGCAAATCCCGTCTAGTTTTGGGAAGAACGGGTTACCGTAAGCATGTCCAGCCTGGACAACATTCTGTCACGGCATGGCCGTCAATATTCTGAAGCTAGCGTTGCCACTCGATTCAGTTTGATTGAATTTGCCAGGGCTGAAGTGTCACCTCATTTCGCCTCCATCGTCACGCAACACCTCGAAGGCAACAGAATCAGCAACGGCTTCTCGCCTGCCACTTTTGCCGGACGAGCTGCAGGACGTTCAAGTTGACCTGTGCGCAAGTGCTTGCGTAGGAGGTTTGGCAATCTCGGGACTAGATGGTTCCAGGCTTCAGGTATCCATCGGAAGGTTTGTCCGTGATGTGACACTTCAAAGGGAAGCCGCTCGCATTCCCGAGTTTGACACGGCCTTCAGACTTGCAGGTGGTGCATCTATTGGATACTGTCAGCTCGCGTTAGACGACGGTTTCTGGAGACATTCATGCGCGGGCCTGCTTTTGTTCTACTTGTCTTTGTCTGCCTTCCTTTGTATATTTCGCTGTAAACTCGCTACTCTACGCCTGGAATGCCCCTAGCTACTGGTTAAATCGTCCGATTGATCCCGGCACTCTCAAGCTGTTTTTTGCATCACTTTGTCTCTCTCTCTCTCTCTCTCAATCTCTGGCTTCGCTCTCTCTCTCGCTCTCTCTCGGTTTTTCCGTCCGTGTTATTTTGGTTGCCTGCCTATCCCTCTCTTGCTGTCCGTATGTCTACACTGTTTTGCCACATAGTTCTATGCCACCGGCCCCTACACGTGCAAGTCGGTCAGGTAAGTTAGATGCACAGAACAAGCGGGTTACGCGCACCTGTGCATCGTGGCCCTTCAAGTCTTTGCGACACGAAGTTGTCCATTTCAGCATATGTTGGCGACAATTTCGCAAGTAGACATGCACTGAAGCAAAGACAGGTAGATAGCCAGATTTGTGTGTCTCAAGCCCGACTGAAAAGGCAGACAGGAATGGCTGCTGAATTTCCCCTGTTGTCCGGATCCATGCTTGTCGAGTTTCAACACTGTTGCAGCTGCAGAACCCGAGCTCTGTGACCCCCTTCAATCACCATGCTTTCACCCTTTGCTGTGGCAGGGGCTCCATGAGTGGACGGCTCAGTATGTCGGATTACAAATTTATTCTATTGGTCTAGGATGTCGATTCCTTGTCAAACAATTTGCGGGCATTCAAGGCAGCCTATGACTCGCCGAAGTTTCCATCTAGCAGAGTCTTTGACTGAAGGGATGGAGTTCGCATATGCCGGCATGTCGCCGCAGACTGCGTGCCGAGGCGTGGGTCATACTCATTACTCGTGTTAGCCTTTGCTTAACGCAGCCCGTGATCATCAAAAACGTAAACTGTGCAGCCATGGAAATCACGGTCGCGGTGGTGAGGATGATCCACAGTGATGATAGGATCACGGAAATGATGATGCATCAACACCGCCTCTTTGTTAGTTTGTGATTATTGTCTTCACGTTCATCACCCTATAGTCTCCCAGCCTTCACCTTCTTCAACTTCTAGTTTGCCCAACCTTCCCTACATGAGTTGCGCAACCAGTGTCATGTATTTGTATTGGATGGGGGCTCGAATGAT